TATATATATATATATATATATATATATGTATAAGCTGAGATTTTAATAATTAATAATAATTGACCTAATCATTATTATCATTGCTATTATAAACAATCCCTGTCTCCATGGTTTCAGGGGACTTATAATCTACCATCTCCAGTTTTGACAAGGGCCCCAAGTTTTTTGCTCATTCACTCATGGAGCCCATATATTTCTCCTCCACTCTGACTCATTGACAGGTTAAATTGCTGACCATAAAATTTGTGACGAGTCAATTTTCAACACATTTTCTACAATGCTGTTACTTTGTTGTTGTTGTTGTAATTGTTAGGTAGCTCATAGCTCTGGCTGCGCCTTATGTCATGCTTCTTGTTGTAGACTGGTTGGGGGAATATAGAGGCCTATGGTTTCACTCATTTACTGTTTTATATCTTCTCACTGTCATGTTAAGGGCATTCATCTGCACCACAAAAATTGGTCTACACAGTAAACTGGCTATAGAGGAAATTTAACACCAATTTGGAGTGGAACCAGCCCTTATTAACAGAGTTATATTTAACTCTGTAGGTGTTAAAGTTACACTTGGGTTTGTTTGTTTTTTTTTTTGTTTTTTTTTGTTTTGTTTTTGGGGGGGCACTCCTAAAACATTAATACCTTTATTAAAGCCCTTCTATATGGAAGAGGATTAGGGCCACTGAAAAAATAAAAAAAACTTAACTGATTTTTAAATTTTATTTCAGTTTAATATGGGAAAAAAGTCAGAATGATTTCTGACTTTAATCTCAGAATTCTGACTTTTTTTTCTCAGAATTCTGACTTTAATCTCAGAATTCTAACTTTAATCTCAGAATTCTGACTTTTTTTTCTCAGAATTCTGACTTTAATCTCAGAATTCTGACTTTAATCTCAAAATTCTGACTTTTTTTTCTCAGAATTATGACTTTAATCTCAGAATTATGACTTTCTCTCAGAATTCTGACTTTAATCTCAGAATTATGACTTTTTTCCCATATTAAATTGAAATGTAAAAATCAGTTAATGTCAAAAACAGTGAACTTCTTTTTTTACTTTCTCAGTGATCCTAATCATCTTCCGTACTTTTATGATGCGTGTTAATATGGATTGTATGACGATATGGAGTTTATGAGCCATAGGAAAAATGTTGAGCGATGTTGAATTTACGCCCCATTTAGTCAGTCACAGTACTACACATTACAATGCTGCCACCTTGTGGTGTTTTTCAAAAAGCGCACATAAAATTCTTAACTTTTCTGAAGAGGATTCAGTAATGTCACCGACCAATAGGACCAAAAACCAACAACTTTGTTTGATACAAATTAATTAACGTTATCCTGTGAGTTTTAATAAAACTGTATTAAAGAAATTAAATTATATTTATATATTATATATAGTGGTTTTCTTATATATAAAATTAGGTGAGTCTCATAAAGTACACAACAGATACCTTTTGAAAATAGGTATTAAACATAATTTCCATTGAACCGATAATTCTATATAATATTTTGGGGTTCTCGTGACGTCTTCGTATAGACGATCTCTGTTTTCCCCGAACGTTGCCGAGAGTAACCGAACAGATTTTTTTGACGACCCAAACCCCGCCTCTTTTCCCGCCCGGTTCCGTCCGCTTGTCCTTCCCCTCCCCACACTATCTGGTGCCTCTGGCAGTAGAGAGCGCGCGACGCAACACACTGACAGCCGCGACTCACAACCGAGGAGTGGAAAGATGGAGCACAGAGAAACCGACTTCAATATATTGCTAGCGACAGACTCATACAAGGTACGGTATCTATGACGGGGTTCGGAGGGGAGGCCGGGCGGGAACGAATTAAACCCAGTGTGGAGATTGATCTAGTCAAGGTGGTTTCATCAGCAGACCGGAGGCCGTCACGCCGCTCTGTACCCGGTGTCTCTTGTTTAACCGCAGGCCGAATTAACTGTAAGAGAAGAGCACTGGTACTGCTGAGGCAGAAACCCAGATATAGAGCATCTTTCTGTGAAGAGGCTGACTCCCACCCTGGGTGGCCCCTGGTTATAATGAGTCGCCTCCCAGCCGGCTCGTGGTTAGCTGAATTAGCCAGCTAGCTTATAGAAGGCGCAGGAGGTTGAAAGAGGGGATTGATATAAAAAAATGAAGGCTAATATTAGCTCCCAGCTAGCAAGTGCTTTATTCATTATCCAGATGAACCCTCTTGGGTAATATCTCCCTATCCAACGCCGAGTGACTCATTAACCAGGAGGGACTTTCGAGAAATCAAAACTGAAAGTTAAAAGAGAAAAAAGCCCGCAGTTACATTTGTAGTGCCTCGAGACCAAAAGCAAAGTCATGCGTTTCATTTATCTGCTCGGAAAATTTCTACCCCAGTTAGCATTCTAGTGGAGGCCGTAATGGCAACAATATAAGGCTACTAAAAACACCAGCTCTTAATTACAATGTAAACAGAGCATTTGTGCGTGTAGTGTTTTATAGCACGTTGCCAGTGGTTGCCATGCACAAGGGTCACGTGACATCAATGGGATGCTGATAAATGCAGCCTGCCAACAATGAGAATTACTACATAATTAACTGGCATAACTGAAAAAAACTCTCACAAGAAGCCTCATTCTTAAAATTAAGAAGATAAGAACAATCATAATATTGAATTTATTTCTTTGTATAACATTTTTAAGATGATTTCTAAAGGAAAATAATTATTAGACCAAGAGATATATTGTAATAAATGTATACACTTCTCATAAAGTATATTATAAAGCTAGAATTCCTGTTTGGTAAAAATAAAATAGTTAAATACAACAAAAATTAATGTTTCTTTGTATAAATTTTTCTTTTTTTTGACTTTATTTTATATATCTTTGACCACATTGTAAGACAGCAGGTTATTTTGGGGTTTATCATTACATGAATGAACATTTTAGCTGCCTGGAGTGGTACTTTTGAAACCATGGACTGAAAAACTTAAAATATTATTCGAACATGATTTCCAACTTTATTTAAATTAAGATTTAAAAGTTAATTTTCATTATATTATTACATAAAGATGGTACTTCCACTCACATGTTAATAGTATGGATGTTCTTTTTTATCATGAATGTAAATTTTATACACAGGATTATTATTTTAGTGATTAGATCTGTAAGATTTCAGAGTCTGTAACCTTAAATTTGCTCTAAATTATCTGTAGAACACATTTAGATGGGAAAACGTGGATAAAAGTGGATAGAGATTCAGTGAATAATCAACGAGCCCCTCTACTCTTCCCGTATCTCCTAAACTTTTTATATCCTGGGATGATAAGAGCTGTGCAGAGGGCCTTTTTATAGAGCCAGGTCTCAGATAAGCACATTTAATCCACATTTAGTTTGAGTAACAGAAGAATAAACTGTTCAGCTTTAGACATGATATTTCATGTATTTAAATGAAAGCCCAAAAATATTTTTTGGTGGCCCAAACTATTTTCAAACGAATGAAAATACAAAAAAGTACTTATTTGATTTTTTTGTTGTTTTTTTACTTGAATTGATGTATTGATAAAAGAGCACCTTTTATAATTAATTTAATGAGAAATTTCTTAAATGGAGAAGTTTAGCTGAGGAATAGGGTTGCGGTATTTGATAACAAATTTAATTGGAATTTTAAAAAGTTAACAATTAAAAAAAAAGTTAAAATTAAAAATGAAATCTTTTTAAAGTGATTAAGAAGATAGTGGGTATTTCTTTGTCATACTATCAAATACTGTCTTAATGGTATGAAATGATTGCCTGTAAAAGTTTTTTTAAACGCCTGCTTTTATCATTCAGATATTTGTCTCCTTTATTAGATATATGTCGGAAAATCATCATGGAAATTATGTTTTAATAATATTTTTTTATTGCTACCTGGGCTTAATTACATTATGAGATATTGGACTCTGCTGCTGTGTCATCTGATTGGTTGTCCTGCACAGCAGGTCGACCAGGGGTGCTCTAGTCTAGTGATTCACAACCAGGGTATGCCTGTCCCTAGTGGTCTGCAAGGGCATTGCAAGGGGTGCATAAAAGTATTTAAATTTCCTAGGTGGGAAACTAAAATGGGGCTGGAATCTTTTTTGTTTTGTGAGGACCCAATTAAGAAAATAAACAAGCTTTTATCAACCAAAAAGTTTTTTTCTAATATGTTTGGTTTCCCCTTCAGCTTTGACAAACATCAAAACGAAGCAGAAGAACAGAATGGATGTAGAGAACATCCTAGTATCGGCTGTTTTTCACACTGAGCTCATCCAAGGTTTATCATATGCTTTTATTTTGTATTTCTTTTGATTCCTTACCAACTTCTAGGTTTTTTTATTTGAGGTGGGAAGCTAATGCCTAAGAAATAAATGCTCAAATTAAAAGATTAGGTAAAATACTTTTTATTTTATAACCATTTCTTGTATGTTCCACTTTTGGACAGTCATCAATACTTTTGTCTGAGATGGGTTACTCATGCCCAAAGGGTTCAAAAAAGGTTGGGAATTCCTGATCTAGTCCAGTCCTCAAGAGTATCCATCCTCTAACATTTAGATGCAACTGTTCTCTAAAACACCTAAATCTAAAGGTTCAATCCCCTCATTTATCTCAGCAGAGGCAGGGCAACGAGCCACTCATTTGATTCAGGTGTGTTAAAAATGGGACGCATCGAAAAGTTGCAGTAGCTCTTGAGGCCTGGACTTAAGCACCCCTGATCTAGACTATAGATGATGTGCAGCTGATGTCAGCCAATCACGTGACACCCTCGACTCCGCCTCCTTGGACTGCGAAACAAACCAACCTTACATAGAAAACAACAAATCTCTTTTCTTCTTTTTATAACAGTTTTTGGCATGCTGGGTGATTTAATTTGTACGATGGAGAGATATAAAACATTTATGACGTACAAGTGAGCAAATTTATTATCTTCACAGCCGATCAGCGCCAGCCGCAAAACTAATGTGCAGGTGGAGAGCATCTGGTATTAACTTTAATTTAGAGCAAGTTACAAAAGAATGCAGCTTTTAATGTCAACTAACCCATCCCCCACCCCCCAATGTCAGCAACCTGGCCTGTTCTAATTATCACTTCGACAAGCAGAGATAACCAGCTGATCTCTAACTGAAACGGCAAAGTGTGTTTATGTAGAGCAGAGATGAGAGAGCTTTAGGTGAATGGAGTTAAAGACCAAACTATGAGCTCCATAATGCATATCCTTAGATATTCAAGCTTTCTTTCCAACCTGAAAATAAATATTTTGATCATCAAATCAACTTATTGAATGTTTTAGTTGTTTAAAATCAAAATATATTATTTACTGCTAGATGAGTCAATATGCAAATATAATTTATGTAAGTGAAGTGAGTTACAGAACATTTTGATTATTTTATATACCTCAGTCAGAAAAATATGCTGAAAAACATCCATTTAAATTTAACAGTTTTCGTGTTCATCAAAGGAAATCTAAGTTTGTTTGTTTTTTATTATCAATGAAGGTCTTGAAATTAACTTTCTGTAGAAATCTTGATATTGCGATTAGTATTAATTTTTATCTCTAACTTAGATCAATCAAAATTTTGATTCCGTTTTGTATACTTAGCTAAACTTACAAAATCCCTTTGCAACAAAAAAACTAGTTATTCTTTTATGCATTTGTGACAGCTTATAACTCTTTTCTGGAGAAACGTGGGTGTAGCAGGGTATGGTTTTTGTCCGTTTGAATGTTTGTTTGAGTCATGCAAAAAGTAAACAGGCTTATTTGGGATCGCTTTAAGCTCTTACACAAAATAAGGTATTAGCCTGTGGTGTTAAGTGAATACTGTCTGTATTTGCATAACTTCCAACTAAAAGTCTGCAAAAGGGAAAAGAGCCAAAAGACATGAAGTTCTTATGAAGTCACTAATGCAGCATACTTTTATTGATAAGCTGTAAAAATAAACTACAGTTGTGTGCCTAAAGCTCTGCTGCAAGGTTTGCCTTCTGGCTAGGTACACAAACATGTAACCTCATCTATCAGATGGACAAAGATCGTTTTTTTAATTAAACGTATCGTCAAATGTTTTTAACAATGTAAATGTATAATCTGCTCTTCAGACCTATTGTTATTGGGATAAATATGATACCATGTTATTATAAGTCTAAAATCTGTTTTCCAACTTTCAAACAGCCTGCATTAGGGTGGAAACTGTTTATTAAAAAGCTGGAAGGGTTACAGGAACAGTTATGCTTGGGTTAACCTGCCAAATGCTTTATATGTCACCTGGAAAGTTTGTTTTCATTGGCCAGATGGTGACTGCCCCCTACCCTGGTTTTCTCCTTGTTTGTGTTGGCATTGATTGTATGGAGGTGGATCAGTGCTGCTGCAAAATGATCTCCACCATTATCCTTGGTTAATAAATAGAAAAAGAAAACAAGTGAAAACCTAGTAAAAACTGAAAGCATTAAGGCTTTATCTTAAGGAACAGATGCAAACATCTTAGTAAGCACAGAGCAGATCGTTAAAGTGAGAGCCGTGATTTGTGTGGGAAAATGAGGATATGCAAACGTACAGAGCATTCTTTCAAATCCCTCACCTGCCACTGCAGTTTTTACATCTTTTTTAACACTTCAAAAAAGGGTCGGGTGCAATTTTTCATGCAACAATATTATTGAACTTATTAGCATTAGTTCAGTGCCAGATGACAGACATTTTTTATGCTTATAAAAAAAAAATTTAACCGCTAGAAATAACAGAGTGGGAACAGATTTTTGCAGCAGGACTGAAGATAAACTTTATAGAGTTAAACCAAAAATAATTACGAAATTTAAATATTTAGGCATGTTATGTTATGTTTAGAGCAGCTGGTGGAGGTAAATCCAGCTGTTTAGAACGTAATCTGCTCTAATGTCAATCAGCATACAAAAAAAACTCCCCATGTTTTATGGGATTTTTTTTATTTTTTAGGTTAAACTTTAGTTATTTTCATAATTTAATCTTATTTCTTTACCTTTGTCTGTGGCACTTTGAGGTTTATAATGCACCATATTTATATTAAACTATTTATAATTCACTATATTTAATTATTCAGTATTATCATTATTATTGATCAGAATTTAACGGAATTTCTTCCAGGATTTCCTTGAATTTAGCTCCATCCATTTTCCCATGAAACTTATTGAAAGCAGAATGCTGTGGGGATATAATATTGAGGGAAACCAATAATATTTTGAATATATATTGTTGGGACTATGAAGGAATGAATCGTTTTTAAAATACAATGAGACTTGTACTAGTTTTTGTTCAAGGTATCAACCTCTTGGTAGCTCGAAGTCTTCTCAGTTGTTGAGGTTAATTAAAAGCCCATTTTTAACCTTGGCTTAAAAATAATGCAGTGATCTAATGTCCTCTCTGCAGTTTACCAATTTCTCATAGTTTATGACCTGTTGTTTAGGGCAGTAAGTAAATAATATTGGATGATGGTGTTTTGCAGATAAGTCGGTTTCTGGGTTGTGCTGGTAAATATCAGCACATGTTGAGGAGAATATGAGCTCACGTGGTGCGGCTGAGTGTCATGTTCAGAGACTCCGCTCTATTTTGAGTCCTAGAAAGCTCAGAGGAAAGGACACAGTAAGGTCAAAGAAACTTAGTAGTTCGTTGACATTTATCTGATCTTGCCTTGGAACTGCTTGGTTACCTCCTCTCCTTAATATACATGTCAAATACAAAATTAGATTCTCGCTTTATTTTATTCGTCAGGGATTTTGGTCGTCTGGAGGACAAATCCGACTCTGTGTTAAGAGAAATGCTGTCTTATGCTTTTAATTACTTCAAATTAAACCTGTGACCCCTTCAGTTTCTACATTTGCTCCAAATGTATCGTGAGGACATTTCTGAACTCTTTATTTGATGCCCACATGACTTTAACCCACTCACATTTTAGCTTCTCTTGTTTTGGGGGAGTGCATCCTTTATTTTGAATCTCATTGCAGTTAATTCCTGAAACATGCCCGGACATATCCCCAGCTGTTTATTCCTTCACACGCCACCGACTTTGGACAGTTATTGTTCGTGGAAAATGTTTGCAGTAGATTAGAAAACCCCAGATGAAGCACGCAAAATTTACCCAGTGAGCAGATAGGAGCAGTGGGAAGGAAAGGAAGGCGCTCCGTTTAGAAATCCAGTCCCTTTTCCTCAGATTCTGACGTTTATAAGAATTTACTTGATTTAACACAATATATAATCTGCTATCTAAAAACGGTGGTAGCTTATTTCTCATTTATGAGAGGATCTTTCTCTTTTTAATATATCGTTTCCAATCTTCATGTTTTTCAGTATTTTTCCAATATATATAAAAAGTTCTCACTGTTTCCCAAAGTTTCCCACTGGTTTAGTGACTCAATAACCATACCTCAGCTAATACAGAAACCACCCGAAGAACCTGTCTTCATGCGTTGATGACTCCCATTTGCTTATGTAGTGCTTTTTTGTTTGTTTTAACAACGTTGAGATTTATTTTACACATCTTGACTAGTCTGTGCTTGATCCGGGTTCAGGGCAGGAGCTTAGGGCAGAGATCCACAGAATTTATTGAAAAGGCAAGAGCAGATGGAAGACAAGAAAAAGATGGCAAACATGTGGAAGAAGGTGCTCTGGTGAAATCCCCTACTGTTGGGTACGGTTGTGGCAGCATCATAGCACGGCGATCCATTTTGAATAGGAACATGGGTAGGGTTGCCTTTTCCTTCCACTGTCTGATTATTAGCTGCTTTGTGTTGCTTTATCACATAAAACCCCATGATAGCAGGTTGAAGTTTGTGTTTGATAAGTTTTGCAATCACTTATTTTTTATTATTGTCTGGAAAAGAAAAGTGTGGAAATGTTTTCTTCTGATAAAATCATTTAGGATGTGGGTCACTGCAGCATGGCTTTAATAAATTCTGTTTGTGTGTTGACAGGTAACTCATTACAAACAGTATCCCCCCAACACGAGTAAAGTCTACTCCTACTTCGAGTGCCGCGAGAAGAGGACGGATCCCAGCAAAAGCAGAAAAGTCAAATATGACCAAACTGTCTTTTACGGCCTGCAGTACATCCTTCACAAATACTTAAAAGGTAAGCGTCGTTTTTGCTAGAATTTAGCATTCCTAAATAAAAATTCCCACTGAGTCACAGCTAATTTTCCAAAGACGTCCCCATAGGAAGGTTTCATGAAGTTTGCCTTTACATTAACTAGATAAATTCAAAAAGCCTAAATTGGCTAAAAAGAAAAGTGAATATAAAACCAACCCTGAAGAGTGAATACAGATATTCCCTGATCTAATTACCTGGAGTTGGAGGAGTCTGATACTCACACGGTTTCCTCCTGAGGGAGATCAACAGAGAGCAAAAAGTTGGAAGAATGCCTCTGCCTCCTACTTCTTAAAAGGATTTCATGGTTTGGTAGCAGAGGTGAGGGGGGTGCAAAGAGAGAAAAGGAGACAAAAGCACAGCTGCTCCCTCATTGTTAGACGGAGAAAGACGTGTTGTCTCCACTGAGCGTCTCGCTTAATCGGTGACTATTGAGGAAGCGTGGATGGACCTTAAAGAACAAATATAAGGTTTATGATTTTTAGTAAAAGAGATCGGTTTATAAATAGTGAAATAAGACTTTGTAGAAGCAACTTTTAAGACCTGCCTTTATCAAACCTGCTTATGTAAATTGAGTGAATTAAACTGGCAAAAATTAAAGCATTCAAAGATTAATATATGTGATCTGTGATGGAATTTTCCCCGTTTTTTAGCACAACTAGACTCTGTTAAGCAAATGCCTTAAGTTCTAACAGAGGATGATGCAACCTAAAGGGAGAAAACAGTTTAATGAAACTTTCTCTATTAGGACTGCACTTGTCTTACATGTTGAATCGCTCTAAAAACAAATATATGTTAACCCTTTCTGATTTTATTTCTCATTCTATTACTGTGTTCTTACAATACAGATGGCAATGAAGTAGCTTTTGTCTTGGGTTAGGTTTAAATAAATAATTGCTTTACACATCATTTTTTTTAAGGCAAAGAAGTAATAAATTATACTTTAATTTGAATAATAGTGCTTTATTTGACTTGTAAGCGATACTATATTTAGACACTACAATAGTAGACAGTTTTCAGTAACTTTATAATTAGAAACTCCCAACTAAAGCCAAAAAGTTTCTGACTTGTTGTGTTGGTATTAAAAATTGTTACAATGGTATTTGAAAAGGTAATAAATTTAAAAGTAATAATTCTTGCAAATACCCTGGATGTGCAAACTTTAAAGGTTAGAGTTCAGTTATCCAATGATATGTTGATATCAGAGGCAGTCTGAAAGTAGAAGCTAAGATGCAGACTTGCAGAATTTTTTTTTTTTTTTTTTCTGGTTTGCCATACAGCAGGAAGTTTAATAGTTATAAATTATAAGTTCAACATAATTGTGTTTTCAATTCTTACTAGTTTGTTAAATCCAGTTTTCTCAAATCTGACATCTTCTCATTTTTCTTCCTCTGTTGTGTTTAACCTTTTTGGTCAAACTGATCAAGTAACAGTAAAGCAGGTTTCTGGTATGTCTGTCTGTAAGATAACAGTTAAAAATGTCCTTTCGGTTGTAAAGGAAGTAACGGCCTTCAAAATAATAGATTTGCACTTTTATTTCTTTTCTTCAGGAACGGTGGTGACCCGAGAGAAGATTCAGGAAGCCAAGGAAGTGTACAGGGAACATTTCCAGGATGATGTTTTTAATGAGAAGGGTTGGACTTACATTCTGGAGGTAAGAACTGCTGTTTGCTTTCTTTGTTTTCTTTTCCTGGTGTGTTTTATCCAGGGATCTGTACTGAAACTGCTAACCACATAAAATGTTTTCTCTCCTTCTTCTTTTAATTCTTCTTCCTTCACCTTCTTCTTTTTGGTCACTTCCTTTTCACTCATTTCCTTATAATGGTCATTTGAAACTTTTCCTTCGCTATATTCCTTCTTTTTCTTCCTACCCTGTCTTTTTCTTTCCATTTTCTTTATTCATTCTCTCCTTAATACAAAAACTTTTCGTCTTACTCTTTTGGTCTTTCCTTCCTTTCTCTCTTTGGCCTTTTCATACCCCTCTCTTTCCCAGTTGCTTTCTCTGTTTTAATTCCTTCTTTTCCTTTTTGTACTCTCTCTTTGTTTCTTCTTTAGACTTCACCTTGGAACAAGAGCTACAAACAACGGCCTCAGATCATAGATAAAATGATTAATTACTTAGTAGAAACTTTCAGCACCTTGGATAGAGAAAAACTAGAAGAATGTAAACAGTCTAGTTTCCATAAACCGATTCTTATGTTTCTTTTTCCAGTCTGTCGTCCTTGTTGACAAAAGTTTCCGATTCCTCTGTTGATAATCTGCAAACGACACACACACAGCTGTAGAGGGTGTTGTTTTCAGTGAAAAGCTATAAAATACACCAAATGTTATTTGTTGCAGGTCTTCACAGCAGTTGTATAACATTTAAAATGTGCAATTTTCTTTTATTTTATTTATTCTGTGCAGGGCTCTTGTGCTCTACTCTGACTCAGAAATGTGTTTGTTTTTTTGTTGGCAGAAATACAACGGACATCTTCCCATTGAAATCAAGGCAGTACCAGAAGGAAGCGTCATTCCTCGAGGCAATGTTTTGTTCACTGTGGAGAGCACAGATCCTGAATGCTACTGGCTCACTAACTGGGTGGAGGTACGTTTGCTTAGCGTTGCTGATATTACATAACTAAAATCTCAAACTTTTTTATTTTTCTTTGGTTTTTTCTTTTGGGTTTTTTTTTTCAGCCATAAAATGCTGCATCGTGTCACCTCAGTATTTGTCAGCAGTTTCTGCTCCTTCTTAAAATGTTTCATTGTTACTATGACTTCTATGAAAAGTGGGAAATTTACTTGTAACCTAATTAGTTTTTCTTTAAAAAAAATACAGATTTATACTCAAACATATGCTGAAATGATGCCAAAGTGAAGCTGTTCTTCACTATAAAAGTTATCACCTCCTATATCTGGCTGAATCACAGAGCTGTTGGAGCTAATTGCTTAATTCACACCATAAAGATCTCGTTTGAACTGGCCTGGCTACTTTTTTCCTCATTCCTTCTTCCCTCTCTCACTTTGTGCTTTACTTTGTTCCCTAAATTAATCCATTATTCTTCATTTATCCGACCTTCATTCCTTTATTCCAATCTTACTGTTTATTTTTCCTCCGCCTTATTCATCCACTCCTTCATTTATTCCTTCCTTCTACAGATTTTTTATTCTTCTGTTAAAAGTCTGACCTCTTTTCTCAAAAAAAACCTGAAATCATGTTGGTTCTGGAAAATTATGGAGGATGTGTGTATCTCAGTGAACAGGTGAATTATGCAGCATGAGTAATATTTAATCTCCGCCCTCCTAACGTGTGTTTTACTCGTTTTTTTTTTTGGTAACAGGCACTGGTTTCTTGCACAAGTTAACCCATTGAGAAAACTGAGCCCATGTTTGGATTGATTGGACTGATGTAGAAGAGATTTAAAACGATATAAAGGCAAAACACACCCATATTTACACAGATGTACACCTTTTGAGTGTCTTTCCTTATATAAATACGTTCTTAACCTGTCATGCTCTGCCACATTGAGTCATTCTTCATGCCTGGTGTAAAATTAGCCTCAGCGGTCATCCTGATGTCCTTGAGTTGCGTCACTGGGTCAGTTCTTCTCGCTCTCTCTCTCCCATCTTCTGTTATTTATCTGTACCTTCCCTTTGTAACATATTTCAGTTTCCCTTTTTTTGTCTTCATTTCTTAAAGCCTTCCTCGTTCCCTTCACATTCTCTACTTCCTTATCTGTATTTTAATTTAGTTTTTGTTAGAACGAGTGATGGGCATTTTTTGTGAATGTAATTTCACGTGAGGTTAAATTAGGTTAAGGACTGGGATAACGATTTTTTTTTTTTCTACACACCACAGATGGCCCCGCAACCTTGTTTGTTTGGACGTTGGCTTTACTCTGGCGGTCACGAGTCCATACAATGTTTTATATTTGAGGAGGCATGTGACCTTGGAGTTATAGGGTGGTAACAGGCTGCGCAGTGTTTGCAGAGAAAGTCAAGTGACGCATCAAACAGGACGTTTCCAAAGATTAGATTTGGTTACTTTTTACTTGCGCCATTTCCCGCAGCATAGATGACTTTTCTGTTGTTTTTTGACAGGTTTTTTTTTTTTTATGCTTCCTCATTTTTGCTCATGACATGTCTGATCACAATCATAAATGACATAAACCTTAAATCTTCCAACTAAGATTCAAAAACTACATTAAAAAAAAAGCAAAAAACTAGCTCATCTTGCTAAAGCGTCGTCTAGACCAGGATCTGAAAGCCCCAATGTAATAATCACAAACCAGTAATGTAGCAATGGCTCTAGTCTGTTTGTTATTGCAACAAAAGCATAACAAAGAAACCTGATTTACCCGCTCAACATAAGGCTTTAATTGCTTTAAAAGATAAAACTTCTCCCTGATTCCTCCGTGACTATTTTTATGAGTTTACATGTGAAAGCTTATTATTCACAAGAAGTAATTATCCTATCAAGGTCACCGTTCTGCTTTAAATCCTTTTATAATAATAATGCAGGGTTATTTTTCACCTTTTATTTTTTTATTAACAGCCTTCTACAAACTTATAGATTAATGACTTGATTTCCAGGTTCCTCTTCCTCCATTTACCATTTGCTGTTAATGTTTTGTTTGTTAATAGATGTTTTCGTTCTTATTTAAATTGTTATAATTTTATTTATTTTTTTTCTAACCTAAATGGGAGGAAAGAAGCAACATTGACTCCAAAAAGCCCCCCAAACATTAGCAGCACATATTAGGGATCAGTTAGATGACTGTTTTTGCATCTCTAAAGTCTATTTTAGATAAATACTGGTCTCTGTGGCACATTGGGTTTGATAAGTTACATTAAGAAAAAGTAACTTTTTACTTTAATAAATGTGAACATGTGGGTCCGCTAGGGTTGTCATAATATAAAAATTCCAAACTCGATATCCATCCCCATAAAATATTTGCCACTGTGTTCAAAAATGCCAAATAATTGAAAGGATAAATAATGTATTTAATAATATGAAAAACTCACCTTTTTCATCTAAGTATGGCCCATGCTTTTGCCACATAATCAAAGATTCCATTAGTTTACCAAATGCAAATAATTACCAAATAAATTATATAAATATAACATAATTTGACAATATTTTAAGGCTCTTCGAGGTATTGTTCTTTTAATGTGCAAATAATCTGGAAATATAACATTTAAAATAACATAACACTTGTATTTAGTATCACTACCTTGCCAACTTGGTACTGTATCTGGAGTTTTTGATACTTTTGACAGCCTTAGGTTCTTCTAAGGCTTCCCACGGAACGGAGTGTTTTAGTTAGAAAGACAAAGATTTAGTTTCTTAACAACAAATATTTAGGTATTTTGTTGCTTTCCTATTATTAGGCATGGAGGAGGAGTAGTCATGCTGTAGATTCCTTTATACAAAAGTCCTGGACATCCAGTTAGACTGTATGGCCTCTTTGAGTCTTTGAAATACCTTCACATTTTAAACAGAAATGAATGAATGGATCTTCCACCAGAAGAAAGATCCAAAATATACATGAGGTTTAATAAAGGAATGGTTCCCAGGTCAGATTTAACTGGGTTAGTTTTTAATCCATGTAAGGTTTTTCCAAGACCAGTAATGAGTGGAGTTTTTTCTTTTCTGAATATTGAAGAAAATTGTACTCACCTTCTTTCAGCCAGCTGACCTATCAGTGCACAGTAAGCAGTAAGTGAAAGGGCAGCAATGTGCTACTCTGTGTCAAACAGTTAAGTATTTAGTCAAAACCGGCTGATATTTTTTAAAACCACCAAACCAGATTCCAAAATCAGAAATGAAGCTCTAAAGGGAAGCTGCCAAGTAGACTATATTTCTTAGAGATACTAAGACAAAAAAAAGGAAACTATATGCATTATAGTTCACGTTGCATTGTCTTTTTTAAATTCCCCAGGCAATGAGCCGCTTGTTTTCATATTCAATCACCGTCTCTGGTATTGAAGCATGAACCATCAAGGAAGGTATTTTTCCCACAGCGGGCCTTGTGTGAAAGTGTTTTGAGCTTTCATCTCTCCTGAGCCTGTTAGTTTTCGGGTTTAGCTCCACTGAATACTAGAAAACCAGGCGGTCACTGGGCTGTTCACGTAGTAGAAAGTTTGGCAGTTCCTCTGACCATAAAAATAACAGCATTGAGAAATAAGAAGAAACGGTAATTGGAGATAAAACATTTTTTAAAGCTGTTTACTTTAAAGGAAAAACATTCAAACAAATCTATTAAGTGTCCCTTTTTTCATTCTTTCAGACTATTCTTGTTCAGATCTGGTACCCGATTACAGTGGCGACCAACTCCAGAGAACAAAAGAAGATCCTTGCCAAGTACCTGATGGAGACCTCTGGGAACCTGGACCGTCTAGAGTATAAACTACACGACTTTGGCTATAGGGGTGTATCTTCACAAGAGGTATGAAACCCACTAAACTATCAATGATTTAACCACAGATAGACTCGTTGAACACATTGACTTAGAGATTCACTAATCACAGGGGTTTTTTGTGCCTATTTTGGCAAAATTCAGTTCTTTTAGAACATGGTTTTTTTTTTTCAAAATATGATATAAAGTATGATAAAAGTATGTTTTGTTGGGGTTTATTTATTTATTTTTTTTGGTAGTTTTTTTTGCCTTTTTTACCATAATAGATTATGAATTATTTATATAACTAACATAAATACTATACATTTAGAAGAAAAAAAAAAGAAAATGATAAACAGGAAGCTGGATCTCTTTTTTTACGTTATATATTTGCGTGGTTAGCATAACTGGCTTAACATCACATTCTCTGGGTGTTTTCACTAAATGATACAGAAACAAGATTTCTAAATGCTGCGTATTCCAGGATAGACTGAGGTTTGAAGCCCAAAGGGGAACCCTGAAACTTTGCTGAACTCCTTTAGGCTTCCTGTTATCTACTGAAAGTAGTGCTCTCTCCATTTCTGGACATGTAATAGATTATAAACATATTTTGTGCTTCTTTGGTTTTCAGTTTTAGACTTTTTGCTAATTATTTAATAAAATAAATATGATTCTAGATTAACAACCTCTATCCATTAGTGATAATTGAAGTGCAAGCTGATAATGATCAAACGTTTTTAAATCTATAGTCTTTATTTAAACGGTTATGAGATTTCATTTAATATTGCTACTCTTTATAACGACTATTTGTGAAGATAAACACCTAAGGTCTATTCCCACTGCTATTCCTAAATAATTGTAATGCTGGTTTTTAATGATTTCCTGGTTTCTCACAGCTGAATCACATTAATGTTTTATTTGCAGTCCTCTTCTAAGTAAATTTCTGCGAAATTTCATGAAGAAAAGCAGAACTATTGCTCTTAAATCTCTTTAAAAAGTTATTTTAGATTGAGAAATTCGAAGGAAGCCCCAAAAACGATAGAAAATGCTGCTGTGTTTTAAACTTCCAGGTCAAAGCTTAGTTTGAAAATGAAATGCATCATTTTGTTTAACAGTTATATCTACTAGAAGAGGCCCTATATTACAGAAAAGGCTAAATTACTGCTCTTCATTCACAGACTGCTGGCATTGGAGCCTCAGCCCATTTGGTGAACTTCAAGGGTACAGATACAGTCGCTGGGATCGGCGTCATCAAGAAGTACTATGGCACCAAGGACCCAGTGCCTGGTTTTTCAGTGCCGGCTGCAGAGCACAGGTTAACAAACAATTCTCTCCAGGGTTGGTTTATTTACCTGGAAATATTCAGAAATAAATATAGGTGGTGTTTGCCATAGGCAGCCTAGCACCATAATAAAGGGTTTGTTAATGAGTTTTTTTCAAAATGCATCTGATTTTGTTTTTAAAGACTATTTGGAAAAAGCTGTTCTACTTGGTTGATGCTGCCAGGAAGAAAAGAGGCTAGTGTTAGCAGTTTTTCTGATACTAAATGTTTACCTTTGATGCCACGTTCACCTTATCTAAGATGTTAGGAAGTTACCAAGGGCAACAGTAGCTAACGGCAACATAAAATCTAGCATTAGCTTAAAAGTTAGTTAACAGGAAAAGACGTTTTTCATGAGTTTTAAATAGAAACTTCAACCAATTTGGTAATTTAGCAAAATAAAATAGTATCTTTCACTAAAGTTTGAACATGTTTCCTGTAGAAATCTTTGGTTCTAATGCACTGAATGTCCATGTGTTCATCAGTGTGGCAGCTGTCAGGATAATTTTTTTAGCGCCTGCCCCTCCACTAATGAAAGGTGTCTTCCAAGAGACTACAGAGATTTTTCAAAATTAAACCAGGACCTTTTTCCTCTGAGGCTCCTTATTTCTTGCACAGCGTTAATTACAAGAATATGCGATCTGCTTTATTTAAATATTCAAAGAAGCGCAGTGGTGATACATATTTTCAGTGTCCTACAGACATACAGGGATCCACATTCAGACCAGAAGCCATGTCTAAAACTGAACTTTTTTTATCTTCAAGATAAAAAGGAAAACCTAGCCTATTAAATGCTTTTCTGCTAATGTTGTTGCTGCTGGAATCTTTCTCACTAGAAAGAAAATTAGCTCAGCATGACTGAAGTTGGCGCTAATTTACTCAGTTTCCCTTACCCGCTTATTATCCTGTTCTTCAGATTAATTTCTCGAGCATGGCTTTGATTGGCTGGAAGTTCAGACTTGCTGCTGCCCTATCATCCATTTCACATTTAGCTGATGTCATTTTATGGCCTTTATACGCTTGGATGCTCATTCCTCCTTCATGCATGCACACCGTGATTTCTTAACTCTCCAGCCTGGCAGTAATTCGTCCAAAGAACCCCCCTTTTGTGTGTTATTGTATTCTGGGACATTGGCTTTGGTTGTTATAGCAATTGCTGAGTAATGCTCCGGTCATAAAATCAGTTTCATTTTTTCTTTACTGGAAGGGGCTGTTGTGAAATTCCACTTTGATCTCTATCGAAACAGAAAGCAAGGGAGGGATCGTTGTGTTACCAAGCAGGTGTTTCAAATGTAAATATATATATATATGTTTTATAAAAAATGTTCAACTTCAGAAAACAGCTGCCCCTTCTACAGAAACAGTAATATTAGATTTAAACATTAAATTCAGTGGTTTATTGCTTGAACTACAACATTTCTCTCTTCAGTGCTGTGACCCAGGGAGTGTCTAGAGGTTTTAATAATCTTAAGTTACAACCTGGATAAAATCTCAAAGGTCATTTCTTGTTTGAAACAAATGGTGTGTAGCGCCCTCTTCTGGAAATTGATCAGAAGTGTAATTTTATAAAAGTCATGTGAGTTTTGTTATCAGGAGTTTGGTTTCATCTCAGGAAGGGTTGTCCTTGTTTTAGTGGTTTTACTACAACTATATATTGAGTTCTGCGTGTGTTTTTAAACTGATGTAAAATAGTTTTCTCTTCATGCGTTGTTTTTTAATCTTGCCAAATAATTTGGCCATGGTCTTATTCAAGTATAAGTACCCATGTGTTTTTCCTGTCAGGATTAGTGGATACTTGTTGAGCCCCCAGATGCAGAGATGATTTCTTGCTAAATGAGATGAAGAAGTCAAAATACAGAAGCCATAATCCAGAACCGATTGACAAAACCCTCAGGAACCATAAACTACGAGACAATAGGGAGGAATGAAAAGAGTGAAGAGAATCCAGCAAACACTAACTGTAGAGGGAGAGTATATATGCTAAACAGAAAAATGAATGGAGTACCGTAATTTTTGGACTATAAGCCGCACCTGAATATAAGCCGCATAAGCTCAATTGCATGATTTGTACATATACAAAACGCACCGTACTATAAGCCGCAGGGTTTTTATGTTTACACACAAACTGTCTTGCGCTCGCAATGTCCGTCTTTCTCGCTGTCGTTCTGTCTCGTACCACTCACGGTAGAAGTCTGCTTCCGGAGGACCTCCGCATACCCGCGCGCGGCTACCGTGCTTGTGTGTTGAAGCAAATGTGACGTCAACATGGTGGATGGTAAAATCCATAGATTTAGGTATTACCCTAGTGGCCGTTAGCTGTAAACGTCCATAGATAAGCTGCATGGTTATATAAGCCACAAGGTCGAAAAATGGGGAAAAAGTCACGGCTTATTTTCAGAAAATTACGGTAATCAGCTAATTGGGAGCAGGTGTGGACTAAAGGATCTAGAAGGGAGCTAGAGGAAAGGAGACTGGCACAAGAGGCAACAGAGGGTAAACAAGAAATACATAACTGCTCAAATACAACCAGAAAATGATCAGATTGACACAAAATGGTAATGAAACCAATAGCACAGAAAACATAATCACATAAATCAAAGTTTAACTCAAAAGGAGAAACTAAACTGAACCAAAAATTCCAGAAAGGGTAGAATCATGACATTTTGAACATATAACCCACTTCCCTAACTATTGTTTTCAGTTTCTAGCTCTTAAATCCTCCACACTTATGCATTGGAACAGCAACAGCAGCTTTAACCAACAACCGCTCTGCCGATTCTCTCTGCAGTACTATAACCGCATGGGGGAAAGACCATGAGAAAGATGCGTTTGAGCACATCATCAAGCAGTTTCCCAGCGTCCCTGTGTCCATCGTCAGCGACAGCTACGACATCTACAATGCCTGTGAGAAAATCTGGGGGGAGGACCTGAGAGCGCTGATAGTGACCCGCAGCGCAGACGCCCCGCTGGTCGTCCGCCCAGACTCAGGAAACCCACTTGATACAGTTTTGAAGGTCTGTCCTGTTTGCTAGTCGATAAAACGTTCGCCCCCCCATGAGGTCTGAACTCTTTTTTTTGTCACTGGCAGGTTTTGGAGATCTTGGGCAAGAAGTTTCCTCCACAAGAGAACTCTAAAGGTTTTAAAGTTCTTCCTCCTTACATCAGAGTCATACAAGGAGATGGAGTGGATATCAACACACTGCAAGAGGTAAGGAGGCTTGGTTATACAACTGTCTGCGTGTTCGAGGGGTGAATGTTAGGTTTTTTATCGTGTATATGTTTCAACAGATCGTGGAGGGTATGAAACAACACAAGTGGTCTATCGAGAACATTGCCTTTGGATCTGGGGGGGCACTGTTGCAGAAACTGACCAGAGATCTGCTCAACTGCTCATTCAAATGCAGCTATGTGGTGACAAACGGACTGGGGGTGAGTATGGACCTGTGGCTAGATTAACTGCTCTATAACCCCTTAACTTTATTGCTAGAATGTTAAATATTTTTTTGTGGCTTTTCAGGTGAATGTGTTCAAGGATCCGGTGGCAGACCCCAACAAGAGATCGAAGAAAGGTCGCCTGTCTTTGCACCGGACGGCGAGCGGCGATTTCGTCACTTTGGAGGAGGGCAAAGGAGATTTGGAGGAGTATGGGGTGGTGAGTTTCATACCCCTTCAGCGCCTTTCAGAAGTATCCATACCCCTATTGAGTCATCACAATAAAAAAAATAAACAAACATGGAAAAGGGTGCTGGATTGGATTGAAACAAGATGGCATCATGATCAGGGCATGATTTTCTACAGTATAGACAGGGAAGCTGGTTTGAGTTGGAGATAAAGGACGTTCTGCAGGAGATTCCTGGGAATCGTTCCACCTCCCAGCAGGAAAACGCCTCTAAATGTGAAATACTGACACAAGTTGATGAGAAAATCTAATCTGCAGCTTCAAAGCAGAATCATATCCCAACTATTTCCCATTTCTGGATTAAGGGGTATGAATATTATTGAAAGACGTGGTACAATGATTGTTTGGTAACTTTGTGTAGTTTGACCTCATTGGTTTCCTTCAACTTTTATTGAATTTTCAACCCCTCCTCTTGTTTCATTGTTTTTCAGGACCTGCTGCACACAGTGTTTCAGAACGGCAAGATTGTGAAGAACTACAGTTTTGATGAAGTCAGAGACAATGCTAAGCTCAAAGACAGCGAGCTTGAGGAGCTGTTGCACTGAGTGCAGACCCCCCCCCAACATACTCTGTTCATCCTAAAAGCCTAAAGAAGTTTTTTTTTTTTAGATCACCTTTTTTTTTTTACCTCCAGTTCCACCAAACAAAATGGAGGCATTTGCACTTCTAATACAACCGTTTCTCTTCCAAATTATGAGAACTCCAAA